ACAAAACTCGCCGGGTTGGGGTTTCCGAAAAGAGGGAAGATAAATGGGCGTGAGTCAAGTTCGACGTGAATTACGGCTAGTTGAGGATTTGGTCAAATCGCATTAGCTGAGGTCGAATGTCGATTTTGGTTAAGGAACAATAAAAGGTCACAAAACTGTGCGTTGGGAAAGTCGTACATACGTTCCGCAGCTGAGCTAAAAGTATAACTGTAGCGGTAAAAAATCGCATCAGAAATAAAACGGAACAAGTGAGTCTAATGGTAAGACTTGGATACCGAAGAATGGAGGACCATCAGTCGCAGGACACGTGCTTCCAAAATAACGATACCATGTTTTATGTCATCGTTTTCAGGGTGTCCATTGCCAGACAACTTACTTGCCCTAGACCAGATTCAGGCCGCGATTGGGAAAGCCCGAGCGGCGGATATTCCTTAAACTACCGCCTACCTGAATGAAAAAAGGAGGAAGGATAAAGCATTTATCAATTCCTTTTCGGGATTCGCCACACATCCGCATCCATTTAGGATGACATGGCATGTGCATGCAACTGGCTTTTACAACTTGAGGGACCCGCCTGTGACCAAGCGCTGTGTTTATGGATCCAGGTACAGTTCCCAACGAGCTGACTTCGGAGGGATTGGAAGGGAGGATTGGTTGGCGCGGGCCAGATTCAGACAGATTGGTAACCCATGGCGATACTAAAATGTCTGAACACAATCAGAACAGAAACTGCTAAAGCTGATCGCGCTGGTATACTCGGGAAGTTGTGTTACACGTGGATATTCCCTTGTAAACACAATATAGCTGTTTTTTTTAGCGCTTTCGATGCTACTTCAATGCTTGAAGAAATCTGGGAAATGGTGGGCTGATGTGGTAAATATGCAAATTTACAGAAAAATAAAAGTTGAAAGGTACGAAGCATGAAACCAGGGTCAGTCCTTCCTTAGAAATTTTTGTAAATTGTGACTTTGAGTTCGCCAGCAGTATCCTGTTCTGACAAAGTGGCGACAGTCAGAGAGCAAGCAGTGTCAAAATAAATAAATAAAGGAGCAATGAAGGATCGGGGTGGTTGTAACTGGTATTTTTGGCAAATTCTATGAATTTGAGAAATCTAATCCTACTTCCTTGCTTGACCACTGTCAGTACAGAAGATTTTACATTGGAAATACTAGCAATTAAAAAACCAAATCGATCGAAAAGAAACAGAATCAATCCACTTGTTTCAGTTAGAATGGGTAGGTAAATGCTTGCAAATTTGCGAAGTTTTTTTTAATGAAAACTTCACAAGCAAGTCGATCTGTTTTCTCATTTGAAAAAAAAAGATTATCGAAGGAACACCGCAAGCAGTAAATATGACAGGACAGGCTATCTGGCTATATCGTAAGCATGTTCAGCACTCAGATGTCTTAAAATTCAAAACTGAAGAAATTGGAAGCCTCGCGCTTTGCAGACCCGTCACTTTCGGTTACCATTTGTGTTAAATTCCTAGGAATCGAGAGTAGCAATGAATCAGTAGCACCACTGGTACTTGGCAAGCCCAAGTAATTAGCTAGATGATGAAAGTTAACATTGCATGAACGACCATGTATGTTCACGTTTACCAATGCTTTCGTCTATGAGAGAGGTCTTTTGATGTTTTTATAGGTCATGTTTTACCACTTCCAAGTACACCCCTGTATAGTGTTGCGAAAAAAGTTGAATGGAAGGTTGTTGGCAACCACAATTCCTTGGAATTGAAATAGTGAAGATATGTAGTGCAGAAGTCCAGGCTGTACAGTGTTCAAACCCTTGCAAAGTGCTGATCCCACGGAAAAGTCGTTCCCCCCCCCCTTCTTAAGAAAATTTATTTTACGCGATAACCAACCACAGAAAACTTCTCACAAGGCTTTGTTTGAATAAATTGAAAATTTGAAAAGAAACATCTTTAATCTTGGCTTGAAATGGTGGATTAGGGACAGTTATGGCGGGTTCCAAAAAGGATATCCGCGAGTGTTCATATTACATGCTAAACTTGGCAGAGCGTCGTTTAGGGGTTAACAAGAATCAAAAAGTGACTTTCTCCAGGCGGAATTAGGTAACGCCTAAATTCGAAAGTTTCGAAGCACAAACAGGAAAAAAGTTGCCCATGAAAACCAGCGCTGTGGACCTGCAAGCGCGATCAACGAGCTTTAAAATTATGTCCTCTCCTCTATTAACTTTACGGTTTTTATGCCTTCGCTTTTTATAGATATAATTTGAGAAATAATTCTGTTTTCTCTTCACCTGCAGTATCCATTTGTTGCAAGTAACATTTTTGTGCTTCCTTCATGTGTCAATTGTAAGTAAACAAATCAATAAACGATAGACTTCTAAGTTTTTTGAGTCTTTATTGGAGTGAATGCGAAGTTTTGTGAGGTTAGTGAGTTTCTTGAATTACGTAGCCTATTTTAAGACTTTCTACAGTTCAGAAGTAAGATGATTGCACGGTGCCGAAGATCTATTCCAAAGGTGAAGATCTAGTCCAAAGGTGAATTGCAGTCCGGTCAGGATCTCAAGCTCGCAGTTGGTCAGCAGCCATATAGGCACATTTGCATCTCATGCTGCGGCGATAAATAACACCGCTAGGTTAGGTAAAAAGCTCAGTAAAGTGTAAGAAGTAGGACCTGAGCACCTTTCCGCTAGTTTGATAACTAGATTGGTGAAGTACATCACAAAAAATTTTGCAAGAAAGCACAGCAATTCTGAGTCATGGGAGCTGTTCACAAAAAATGGAATGAAGAATGACCTTCGCGATCTTTCGGCATTACTACAGCAGGTGATATGGACAGGAAGTTTTAGTGGAAAAAGTCAAGAATCACCAAAGAAGTAAAGGAATCAGAAGAATCGTCTGCAGACCATAAAGTGAATCGCGGAACGAAGAATTCTCGGTATTGTGAGATGGAATGGACTTCTCAGAACTTTTCTTGGGAATACGCCATGTATTCACTTCATGAGTACGCCATTGGGATTTGTAGAAGGCTCTCAAACGGTTACCTCACTTTTGAGTTTATATGTTATGCATAATACATTGTATAAGTTTGAATTTGATGGCCTAGGCTTCTACCCAATTGTCTGTCCTAACCTTCCCTAAGTGATATCTTTACTTATGTTTCTTGCAGGTCAATAAAGTCAACAATTACGAAGCTGCCACATATTTGTGGCAACTTCGTAATGTATCCCTAAAAGTGACGAGGAAGGTCTTTCAGGTAGTGCCCAGCTTTCTCGAAAACGGTTTTTTGCATGATA